CATAATAATTTTAATCTTGGTTAAAATGGGGTTTAAAAATAGTCTGAATGGATACAAAATACAGCAAAAAAAAATTTTTCTGTAAAACTAATTAAAAAAACTATCTGATAAAATGTCACACACCTACAAGTATATTAATTTGCAATAAGTTAGCAAAAATGGAGAAGGTGTGAGTTACTCCATTATTGTGTGGGCGAGTTAAAAACACTCTGAGAATAACATTTCCTGATGTAAACCTACAGTCAGCTAGAGGATAAATAAAATGTTACCATCAGATTTAGAGACACCAGAGAAATGTTTGTGCTGAAACACTTCAGGCCTCGAGGCAACGCTGATTTAAAAAACCGATTTGATGCTGTTGATGAAGGCAACAGTGTGAACAATGGAGGAATTTAGAAGAAAAATTATGAGACTTTCCATACAAATCTCATTTATTTGGAAATGTATTGAAGTGAAGATCATAAACACTGTTTTCTATCTAGAAGATGGACCATTTGCAGTATTTTCCCAACAAAGAGAAAACTAGCATTTAAGATAGTTAGGGCAAACACTGCATATAAACCAGTAATACTGGACAATGCACGCCTTCATAGCAAAATGAAAAGCTACTCAATTAACACCTTTTTCTGAAAAGTTCTTGCTTATTTTACCAACACAATGCTCAAATTTGTTTTATCTAAACAGGACAGTTTTATTACAATTATTATTAGGTCATGTGTAGTAATGTAAAATGTTAAATTAGTGATAAATTATATTTCCAGGAAGCTGCTGGAGTTCTAAGCAGCAGAAATTCTATGCAAAGGTAACATGTCTTTTTTATTTATAGCAAGTGGACTCCTCGATTTGCACATATTCAAAATTAGTTTTTTTTTAATGAATATTTTTTAATGAATAAAATCCAAGTGATATGTAGCCTATTCATTTATAACTGTTTGAAGCAAGTTGCTGGCATCTAAATCTATGAGTTTTTTTAATTTGATGAAGTTCTCAAATTCATATTCTTTGTGTATTTTGTACAGTTTAAAACTGGATAAAGATTTGATTAGCAAATCCTCTCATAAAGCTTTCTACAATAATCTATCAGACTACTTAAGATCACCTTAATGTAGGCTTAAAATTGAAATAATAAGCTATGGACAAGTATAACATTATATCAGATTACTCCACATTCTTTAAATGGTATTGTAGCAGTAGTAGAAGATTAGATCCCTTTCACGCAGGATGAGGATCTTCTTAAATTATAAAAAAATCTGCAGAACATGAATGGTTGTTGGATGGGCTCATTAAGTCTTCAGGTGGATATTAAGAACAAATTTGACTTTTCGTTAAATGTGATAAGCGTGACAAAGAGGCATACTGGAGTAGGCCTGTAGGAATAAACAATAAACAATAAATCAATTAATCGCATGATAAATGAAAATTATCTACCTCATTTTCATTTATCGACTTTGTCATTTCTTCCTGTCCCTCTCTTTCTACTGAAGACACTGGAAGACAAAAGGTTCAACTCTGGTGCTCTTCACTGACCCCTCCCTTTCTTTTTTCTTTTTTTGGTAAAATCCGTTTTAACCGCCCAAAATCACGTATTTGGATCAGTAAAAGCAGATAAGCTGAGAAGCTAACGAGCTAAGCTGACCTTGGGGAAAAAACCTCCGTCTGGTTGAAGCTCCGAAATTCACGGTTAAAACTTGTGCCTTCGTGTAAAAAGTTGTTTTTCTCTGAAAAAAAGAAGCTGAGAACTTGTTTACTGATTTTTTTTTTAATTAAAAGCTTTGTGTAAAAAATGCTATGCTAAAGAGCTCAAACCACACCAAGCGTCCGCCATTTTGAGAACTGAAATAAAGGAAAGCGAGACAGCCCATGTCACGTCAAGGGTCCTCCCTCCCATTTTCTTAAAGAGACACACTGCTCACTCCCTCACTATCCATCCTTCAGTTCAAATGGTTTTATACTGCCATCCAGTAGTCAAAAAAGGTGCTACACACAAAACAAATTGCCTATATTTCTTCTTAAATTTGACAATAATTACTAATTATTGTCAATTTTTAAACAATGTTATCATTTATCACAATAATTTCTGAGACAATTAATCGCCCAGCAAAATTTGTTATTGTGACAGGTCTACTTTAAAAACAAAGTTAGACAGAAATGGACCAGCTTTTTAAATAATAGATATTATTTATTGTCATCGGCACGGGGTTTAGACCTGGACCTGTTCTCCATCAGAGGACATCTTCCCTGCAGGCTTCTTGCTGGAGATGTCCATGACAAATTTAAAAAAGGTTTCAGACACCTGTGACTACACTGTGGCAATTTAGAGAGAACATTTTCCACACCATTTATTTGAAAATTTTTCGAATGCAAGAGTCAAGAGCGCGAGTCTCTGCAACTCAAGCAAGGACAATGAAACTTGCTACACAAACATTCTGAGACATACTGGAGACATTCACTTGTTGGTCGCGGCCCAGTCCGATACCACCTTTAGTAAGTCCTATTTCAAGCACTTAAGCAAAACTCCACATCTAGTACTGCGATTATTTATTTGCCCATCTTGAGTTTATGGCATGACCAGCCAAATTATGAGAAACCAAACAAAACTCCAGAACAAAGCTGCGTGTGGGAACTTCACTGCAGGCGCAACATTTCCAACCAGTGCAACAGCTGGAGCAGATGTGATGACATGGGAGAGGAGGCGAAAAAAAAACAAAAAGGAAAACAACAACAAAAAAGGAAAAAGTTGCAAGACTTAAAAAGACAGCAAGTTCAATAATATCACAACCCGAGCATATCAACAAGCGCGAGCACACACTGAGCCATGCTGCTGTCAGTCCGTCAGTCAACAGACGTGCTCCTTTCTCTTTTTCTCTCACTCCTTCCATGCAAACATTGCCTCTTTTTAATCTTCCAATTCTTGGGTCTCCATGACAACAAGATCATACCATGCAGAAAACATTGATCGGGGATTGAAGGCAATACCAAGGGTTCTGCACACAAGGCCTCACAATGCAGTCGATGCACTCTGCTGCATAAGCAGAGCGCTTTGTCATCGCTTCCGTTTTGGAATCACCTTTTAATTGTTGGACTAAAACTACTCCTTTGGTTTGTCCTTTACTTAAAAAAAAAAAAAATCTTCTTTTCTGTGTCCTGGTGTTTCAATAAGTGTCGCTTTCTGAAACAAAAGGAGTAACAAAAGAAAAGAAAGAGCGCACCAACCTTCTCGAAGCTCTGAGGGATGGAAGGGGGTTGATGCAGAACACAATGACGTGAGAGGGAAGAGGGGGGGAAGAAGAGAGAACGAGGAAACACAGAGAGAATAAAAACGGCCAGCGCAAAGCCACTCGCTCCAACGCACCACTCTCGCACACACACATGATTCGGAAATGCCACTTTCATATGAAAACCAAAGTAAGAAATCTGAACGTTGGGTGTGGCGTTACAGCCTGTAGAACACCAACATCCGGGGCCAGTTCATTAATAAAATCAGGGATTTTTCTTTCGATCTGCCTCTAGTACAGAAACCACTGCAGTAGTAAGATCAGTGCACTTAAACCAAGGTGTGAGCTCACTGTGACTCCAGATCACACCCAGGTTTAAGGTGGAATGTGAGAAATACCAAACAACAAGGTCAACGTGTGTTGTAGACAATGGATGGGTTAGTAAAACTTGTTAAAGGACACAGTTATGGAAAAGAGGTAGCTTCATTGATTAGCGCAGCCCAATCGTAGATCTATTCAACATTTGTAGGCGTGTCTGTGTGTGCGTGTGTTTTGCGTTCACGTCCTACCTCGGACGTATAGGTTTGCAGGCGAGGAGTAGCGCACGCCTTGAGAGTTGGTGGCCACGCACTCGTACTTCCCTTGGTCCGTCTCCTCGCTGTTCTCGATCTGCAACGCTCCTGCAGGAGAACAAGAGTATGTTTACTTGTAGCAAACACGTTCTTTTTCATCCGGAGACATCCGTCGTCGCCTGCGCTTCTTCGGTTCCAGTTTGACCCTTGGGCGTCTTCTTGCTTGTTACTTCATGAAGTCAGCTTGGCTTGTTATCTCTGCGAGGCACGATCTGAACGGGTTGCACTCCTCCATATCAGAGGTTGTATTTATTTTCTTCCTTTTTAGAAAGGATTGTTCTTTTTCTTTTTTTTTTTTAAACAGCACAACTCCATCCCTTTCACTTCTTCTGAGCAAATAACATGCTCCAAGTTGAAAGGTTCTTTTGAAAAAGTTGGCAAGTGGAAAAACAACTGACTTTTGGTAAACTCGGATGACACTTTTAGTTGTATACCTCTGTAGCAGCTAGCGATTCCTCTCCTGCTGCCATGAAAAAAAACAACAATCCTTTTGCGATCTTGGCAGTAAAGTGACAGCAGCTTTACCCCGAGGCAACAACCCAATGATGCTCTTTAGCGCTTTACTTCCTCTGTTTTTATCCTCCCACCTAAAACCCGCCGTGATAAACAGTGTCTCCCTCAACGGGCTCTATAATTACACCCTACACTCATCAGGCACCCCTCAACTCAAAGGGTGCTATTCTTACACACAAGTCTTTTTTATTTTGTATTTTTATGTTTGCGCTAACAGCCTTCTGAATAACCAACGGAGACATTTATTTATTTTTTTATTTTGCTCTTTCCGTCTGTTCTGTCACATTCATGTCATTATAAAATGACTTTGACATGAAGCCTGAGGAGGGGGCCACACTCACTCACTCTGAAAGGAAGGAAAAGCTCAAAATGACTAAGCACACACACTTTCATACTGTACACACATGCGTTTGATGAATAGGCACACATATACACACACACACAGAGTACTGTACTGTTTTCTATTAAATTAGATTGTCTGAGAGTGATAAAAGGCATTGTCTTGTAAGAGAGAGATAAAATACTGTTTAATGTCTGTCAGACTGCTTTCTTTTTATTTTATATGAATTCAACTAAGGCAACTAGGAACAAATTGTGTCTTTGTGACAGACAGCGAGAAACAAAGTGCCTAAAAATGCAATTTAAAATTGATTTTGTACTAAACTGTCTGTTTTGTGTCAACGGGACTCATTCATCCTTTAAGATTAGGACCATTGATATGCCTTAACCTCTGATGTGAGTTACGAGCCTTAGAAAAAAAAAAAAAAAAAAAAACACATTCTTCTACAAATGGTCAAAAGCTGGACTGAAAAGGACTGAAACAGAGCCAAAGACAAAGGCTGAAAGGCATTTAGAAAAATCAATCAAGATTAGTATTTAAAAGATTAGAAGAAAATATAAAGAAATAAAAACTAGAAATCTAATTTTAAAATTATTGAAAAATTATTGAAACCGCCTCCTTGCAGGCCATAGATTTAAATGAAGATCTCATATGATGTAAGGAGATAATGAGTGATGACAGTATTGTACATCTCCTGTGATAGAATAAATGTCGTCATTTATTTTTGTTTTACACGAGAAAAAGAAGCAGTCTAATAAAAATGGACAAAGCTTTGATAATTATTAATCAGTTTCTTCCCAAAAGTCAAAACATTACATTATTGTACAAATGTAATCAGTAATTTATATATGCATTCATTCTTGCTTCTGGTTTTTACAGCTCAAATCTAGCTAACTTAAAAAAAAAAAAAAAAGAAAGAAATCAACTAATTTTGGTTTGTTGCTTTCTTTCTGCTATGATAGAAATATATTATTTATTTACCTTATTCCTAATACATTACAATACGTATGTATTGTAAAATATTATTGTGGACCTCCTAGAAAGGTAGCCACCTATTATTATCTGCCTGAAAAGTGTCTTGCTCTTCTATGAACTTTATTGTGGCCCAAATCGTAACATGCACCCCCACGAAAGTTATAGCAAAAAGACCGGCTCAGCACCATGATGTGTGTTGTTGCTTTAATTGGCTTTCGAGTTACCATGGCGACGTAATTTGCAAAAATGCCATTTTTCTCATTCAAAATGCCTGACGGAACTAACTCGGTTAATCTTTGAGATACTGAGCTGAAGTTTGGTGCGCTGGTAGCTGAGCGCAATGACCCATAAATACTGAATAAAAAAATAAAAATGAAGATGGCCACCTAAGTTAAATTCAAATGGCTTTAACTCAACTATTTTTACACATACACAGCTGAAATTTGGTGGTTACATCTGAGAACGTTTCCCATCACAAACAGATCCAGTGTTTGCCCTACCATTATAGAAGCAGGGCGCCCCACCCTGTCAACAGAACCAAGAGCCCCACCTAGCGAACCTAACAGCGTCATCCTGATCTGATAAGGCTTTGGTATCACTGTTTATAGAATGGCAGGGCCAGTAGCTGACATTCTTATTTCCCCCATCTCTCCCCCAGTTAGAAACCTTGAGAATATTTTCTTGACTTCATTTGGACTCAGACAGGTTCAGTTGGATCTGATGATGCTGAGATGAGACGAAGGGGGAAAAGGGAGGGCCCTTGATGAGTTTCTATAAAACTAACAAGTTTGTTTGATGAAGTTAGAACGGATCAGAACTCAGACAGGAAGAGGCATTAATAAGTTCTGTACTTATGATGAATTGACTCTTTGTGGGTCCGGCTGTTCTCCAAAGCTTTATAATCCATTTGATGAAGTCTATGAATATGTTTTTCTCTACAATGCTGCTTTTACTTCCATTTTGATGTCAAAACAGAAGTAAAATCAATATACCTGCCAAATATGCCTAAAAGGATGATGCTATTTACAACTAAAATAGATTTTTGCAGTCGTCATATCTGTCAACAAGCTGTGGAATGGAAAAGACATTTATTTTGAGTTATGGTGTTTTTGTATTTCGTTCAGAAAAGAAGTCTAAGTAAATAACGCATCCTAAATAAATCATTTAATTTATTAGACACTTTAATTCAGCTCCAGTCATGAGTAAAGCATTTATCTTTAAAAATATTACATTAAAGTCATTTTACAGCTTTTTTTCAGTGTATGGAGGTGAATGATGGTCAGTGTTAATGTTGTTTTAAATAATGAGATTTTGATTTCCCTCCTGAATGGCAGATTTTAATAAATGGTTTACGGTAACAAAACTGCCTTAAATGACTATTTGCTCTGAGGGGAAGTACATTTTAACATGATCCAAATATCAGGAGATACACATCCTGTGCTAACGGAATCTGTGAGGAGAGGGGGAACCTGAGAGCTCAGGTTTCGTTCACTCCAAAGACGTGCATCCGTTTCCTCCCCTGCTTAAACGAATTCAAAAACTGGCCAGCTGGTCTCATTCATGATCAGAGGTTCCAGATTAATACAGACCTGCAGATTTATGGGACTGTGCCAGGCTAAGCGAGTGCCATCAGAAATACTGCTGACAATAGTTTTAGAAATCAAAAATACTGCTGAAAACAATTTTAGAAATCAAAAATACTGCTGAAAACAATTTTAGAAATCAAAAATACTGCTGAGAATAGTTTTAGAAATCTAAAATACTGCTGAAAATAGTTTTAGGAATCAAAACTCAAACATGAAGGACTTGGGCATGTGCTGCAACAAAGCAGCAAGGCTAATTTAGAAAATTTGCACCCTGTAATATTCTTTTTATTAAACAATCCTAAAAGCTATGTCCTCTGTAGTAAGACAGATTTATGTCACTAAAAATCATTTTTGAGGCTTTGTAATGAAATATGAAATTACAGTAGAGTATTGTGGTAATGTCAGTGTGTACATTTTAAACTGTAACTCTGCAGCTGAACGGGATCGTGTTTACCCTATTTTCCGGTGTATAAGTCGCATTTATTATGTGTCATCGCTGACCCGTCACGTTTATTATGCGTTTACTTAATGGCCAAAACAGCTTCATTTCGTCCGTCCGTCCGTCCATCGCGGCCGGAGCCACTAGCTCTCCAGCCTTCCTCCACCTGCCCCAGCGTGAAGCGAGTGGGCACGGGAGGACACAATGTTGCAATTCTTTGAAAATTAAAGCATCAGTCAAAAATTGCATTATGAATAGGGGGGTGGGGGGGATTACAGTGTTTTTCGGCCTAAGTCGCACATTTTTTGCATAATTTGCATGCCCTGTGACTTATGTCGTTGGACTGACATCTATGCAAAAAAACTGCCACTTATGTGCCAGAAAATACAGTAAGTATTGTGGTTTCAGACGTTTAAACGAAGGAAGGTTTAGCTCGTTCCTCTCAGCTACAGTCCAAGTGTGTGTTTTGTAGATATGAGGGTGTTAAGTGAGCCGAGGCTGTCATCCATCTGCTCCCATCTTCTGCAGCTACATGAAAGGAAACCACCTCCCCTCCTCTGTCTCCCTATGTCTCTTCTCTCATAATCCGGTGGAACATGGAAGAGTTAGGAGAGGTAAAAAAAAAAAAAAAGAGGATTAATTTAACCTCTGTGCAAGCCAAATCTGTTCTGCAGAAAGTGGCAAATGTAGGATGAGAAGCGAGAGGAAACGATGAAGCGGAGGAGAGGGAGGACTGGACAGGTGGACCTGTGCAAACAAGAGCTCGTCTGACAGCTGGAAGCAGCTCAAACAGCTAACCATCAGCACAACTTTGAAACTGGCAAATGAAAACCTCTTTTTTTTATTTAATGCAAAACTTGTCATTACCATATATGGAGAAAAAACTGGTGCATCTTCACATTTAGAGGTCAGCCGGCACATAAACAAACAGCACGGAGATAACTTTGGAATTGAACCAGCTTCGTGTCTGTCAGTGAGGGGGAGCGGAGCAAAAAGGTGCAAACAGGGAAAGTAAAAAGGGCAGACAAGACGAGCGAGAACAGTTTGTTAGTCTGGAAGCTGCTGACAGACTCGGAATGAGATGTGACTAAAGTAAACTGAGCTGCTGTGAAATCCTGCGTGGTGTATCATGTCTGCTGGCCTGAGAGCTTTAGCTAATCAGATGACAGTAGATACTGCTAACCTGATAGCTTTT